TCCTGCATTAAGCTCAGAGGAGACAGTGGTCGCTTGAACAAGAGTGTTAGCCATAGTTATGGGTGAGATGTGATGTATTTTAATACAAAGTCTTCACCATAATGTGACTTGCGAGAAAGAAAAGAATTAACAATGACTTCAAGGTTTTCTGTTATTAGAATCGAGGAGGATAAAGTTGCCATTAACAGAAATGGGCAAGACCCTAGGGGGAGCAGGTTTGAGGAAGATTAGGAGTTAGTTTTTGAACATGGTTAAGTTTAACATGCCTCTGAGGATGTAAGTACGGATGTAGAATAGTTTACTAAGAAGTAGGTACAAAATGATTAATCTTTCTCTGAATTGGAGAACATTTGCTGAGGGGTTAAGAAATCACTGTTAATCCTGAAAGCAGGAAGTTGCTCTTAGAGTGAATGAAAATTGGAGTGTGGTTGAAATACACAGAGAATGTCGTATTAGGAGGACAGAATTATCTCACTTATAACAACACGAAGGCAGTACTTCTGAAGCTTCTTTGCATCACTGCCTCCTTTGAGGTTCTAAAGAAATCTTTGGTTGCTCTTCCCAGATAAATGTACATACACACAATGTTTTACATATTTCAGCGGACTGAGGGATTTCTTTCTTCTTCATGTCACTTGACATCTACGCTGGATGTGGCCAACACAGTATTGCCTTCTTTCAGGAATCAGTGTTATTTGGTTGTACATTTTCCACCATGACTTACTGAACTGTAAACAGAGTGGTTTTCATGTGAAGGATACTATTCACTTTCGAGCATTTTCCGAAGTTAGGATCACAGTGATCTTCATGGTACTCTTTTGCAGCTATTTAAGTAAAAAAAGTCCTATTTGTAGTTGCACAGGAAAGTGAAGTTACTTTTTTCTGTGTTCCAACTGAGTGGTGATAGAGTTGAGATTGAAACCCGTGAGGGTATTTTCCCAGTCTGCTGCTTTGATACATGTTCAGTATTTCCATGAACTAAAGAAGAATCATTTACATCTTTTTGCTTGTTCTATGACTGAATTACAAATGATCAAAACCAGAATTATTTACAGTGAATCAACCAGCATCACAAACACTATTCATGAAATAATAAGTATAAAAGGCTGCCAAACAGAAATGTGTAATGTACTATTCTGATGAAATCATGAGATTTTTATTTAGTACAATAATGTAAAGTAACATAGGAGTCCTAGACAAGAGATTAAACCACAGTAGGCACACTTTTTCTATGAAGAACCAGATAGTAAATATTTTGGGATTTGTGCCTCAGTCTCTGTTGAAATTATTCAATGCTGCAACTGTAGCAAAAAGCAGCCATGAACAGTGTGTAAATGAATGAGCATGGCTGTGTTTCAATAAAACTTTATTTACAGAAACAGGTAGTGGGTTGTATTTGGCCAGTGAAACGTTGTTTACTGAGTCCTAGATTAAACTACTCATGGTAATTTTAGATAACTTTTTAATAAGAGATGGGTAGATAGATAAACAGATAGGTGGATAGATAATTCTGCTCAGCACCGGCCTCCCTCCAGGGTTCACATACTGTGCTTTAAAGCTGCTGACCTAAGGCTGCCTACATAGAAAACTTCTTGTGTTCACGAACATGGAGTAGATTTAAGTTTATTGAATGCAGAAGCTACACTTAGAACTTCTCTGTATCAGCACCCAGCCCAGAATGGAGCTCAAAAAGATTAGTTGAATAATCGCCCCAATCAGTGGAATAAGTTGACCTATCTGGACCTTTCTCCATTCTCATCCTTACATTGACCTATCTGGACCTTTCTCCATTCTCATCTTTACTTCACGTCACATGCCCCTAACCTGTCATTAGAGAACTCGGTGTGAAGAGAGCACAGCCTGGAGCAAAGAGTGCTGTCCGTGAAGATGATGACAATTTTTTTAATTGATGTACAGTTAATTTACAGTGTTGTGTTAGTTTCAGGTGTTCAGCAAAGTGATTCAGTTATACATATGTATACAAATCTATTCTTTTTCAGATTCTTTTCCATTATAGGCTATTACAAGATACTGAATATAGTTCCCTGTGCTCTACAGTAGGTCCTTGTTGTTTATCTATTTTAAATATAGTAGGGTGTATCTGTTAATCTCAAACTCCTCTCAGACTGAGCTAGGATTCCAGAGAGGTGAGTCAGGAGCTGCTTTGCGGTAGGCAGGGATGTTGAGAGACAGAGAGACTCAAGGCCTCCTAACCGTGTAAAGGCAGAACAGCTCAGTTTTGTCCATTTTAATTACTGGGGTCCTGGGTAAATTTTACATGAAAACGATGTTTCACTGATGATAAAAATTTCAAAACCATTAGCTTCTAGCAAGTGGCAACTTGTATCAGCGCAGTTTTTGTTGTTTTTCATGTTTCCTTTACTTAGGTAAGGCAAAATTGACCTCTGAAGCAAAAGATGTTATTTCTACGCAGAAGCATCTGTTTCATAACAAAATGAGATATGTTATAGTAAAAATTGTATAAATTGATATATGTGATGATTAAATCATAAGCTAATTATCTAACACTCTACTTTTCATCGTATATACATCATTAATAATGAGTCATGCTTGGTCTTAATGTTTAGTTTACGATATGGATTTTGCCTGAAGTTTTACAGAATTAACATTCATTGATACCAGCTTATGCAGAATAATAACACTGAAATAACACAAATAATATAGATGTCTTTTCAGTGATATTTAAGTAGAATTATTTTTAGCTAGAGTTTGTTTTATGGGAGTGGGAAACTGTGTGTTGAGATACAGATACTGAGATAAATACATGCTGCCTAAAGTTTTTATACTGAAGTCCTTAGTGAAAGATGGTGTTGGAGGCTAAAATTTCTGTACAATGACACAAAGAATCATTTCAGGCATACAAAAATGTGTTACTGGCATTTTAAGTTGATGTAAACAAGAAACCATGTCTGTCCTGCACATCTGTATAGTTTTCACCTCAACCTGAATCTCTGTAAGAAAATCAATAAAACTGCCTGTTGGGGTTGTTTTAATGCAGCTTATCTCTTCTGGGAGCTGCAGCTATAAAGAAGGACTCTGCTGATATTAAAGTGCTGAAATTAAAGTGACATTATGGTAAATTTTTGCTGGTTTTAAAACAAATCTGTTACCTGTTATGACCTCTAAACTTTAAAAGTATTATGCAAAAAATATCCATATGCAGAAATCTGAAAAACAAAAAATGAGATGTGATTAATCACCTCTCAGAAACATACTTTAACAAAAGAGTAATTGTGCAATTCAGCTCTTTACAAGTTGAAACTAATATTTCAGGGAAAGATCTAGAGTTTTTTTTGGTGTTTTTCCTGACTTATGTAAGAACTTTACCTTTTGAGCTCTATAAAAATATGAACTCTTTCTGGCCAGAGGTACTTCTTTTATGTGTGTGATCTTCTTTTATGACTAGATGACTTATATTAAGCGAATTCATGAATAGTAAAGGGTATTGATGATGCATTTGGTGTGAGGGACAACTCTTGCCTCCAACGGACAGGAAAAGTTTTTCTTTCTATATTTATTTGAAAGGTATTCTCAAATTACTCTTCTGGTAGCACATGACATAGCCATTAGCCCTGCACCTAAGAGAAAATCCAACATCACGGCACCGGCAGATTCAGTGTCTGGTGAAAGTCTGCTTCCTGGTTCTAGACAGTCTTCTCATTGTGTCCTCATGTGACAGAAGGAACAAGGAGCACTCTGGGGTCTCTTTTGCAAGGGCACTAATCCCATTCATGAAGACTCCACCCTCTTGACCTAATCACCTCTCAAAGGCCCTGCCTCCGAATACCATCACATAGGGGATAAAGTTTCAGCATATGAATTTTAGGGGACAGTAGCACCCCATTAGCATTGGTCAGTAACTGGCTGCAAGAGGGCATAACCTTCCGGGTGAGGCTGCTCTTAAGCAGCAAAAGGCAGTTTTCTAGAGAAGGAGACAGCTGTGAGCTGATAGCAGCTAAAACTCAGCAGCTGGAGGATGGGTGCCCAGGCCTTATCCACTATGCTAGCAAAAGGATTCTCTTGCATATTGGAAACAGAAACAGGAGTGAGCTTCTGTCAAGAAATACAGCACTGACAACATGACAGCAGTTCATGAGCCAGAAGAAAATTTGAAAATTGACCTATGAGCTTGAGGCCATGTAACACAGGGCTAGAGATCCCATACCCAGCTCCACAGCCCATCACAGCACTCTCCAATAATGGATTCTCTTGACACTGACCTGGAGTCAACAAGAAAAGCTGTATTTTATTAGGTTATGCAATTGAAAAAAGCAGAGATCTCCAACATTTTTATAGTTTAGTTCCTGAAGTCACCAATGTCTATAGTTATTTAGAAAAGAAGTAGCTCATTTGTGAAAGCTCTGGGTAAATTAGTTAACCAAATATAACCTTTAGAGCATTAACTCTATGGCCATCAGCTTGAAGCACAAGAATCTGTGCACTACAGAAATCAGTACTTTGTTTTTTGGCTGCTTAGTGCAGCCTGTGGGATCCTAGTTCCCCAAGCAGGGGTTGAACCCATGCCCTCTGCACTGGGAGCGTGGAGTCTCAACCACTGGACCTCCAGGGAAGTCCCATCAGAAGTCATTACTTTTTGAACAACAAAGATGTTTCAGAGAATCTCACGTTTGGAGACTTAAGATATTATTGTGTCTTGGTTTACTCTCAGGAAGGTTCACAGGAAAGAAAGACTTTGTGGTTTGTTTCTGTTGAACAGATGGTTGATTGCAGGGTTGTAGCACAAACCAGGTAACAGATTGCACCATTCTCATTGTATTTTCAGTAATTGATAGCCTCCTGGCCCCCCTTACCTGTTATTCCATTAACAGCTGCTCAGGTGTCACCTTCCAATGGTTTACCCTCAGGCTGTTTTACAGAGACTCTTAGCATAATTCCGTATATAGCCCATCAAGTATCAAAAGCTGCTTTTGTTGTGGCACAGTGTTTCCTAGAAAAATTTTCCTGTTTTTCTTCCTCAGCACCATAATGCTACCTTTGACTGGGCATTTCTGACGACGAAGGAGTGTTTGAAATATGGAGGAAAGCTCATGGGCAACAACTGTGGTTTTGTTCCTGATATCACTCTCATGTCTTTCATCCTTTTCTTGGGCACCTACACCTCTTCTATGGCTCTGAAAAAATTCAAAACTAGTCGTTATTTTCCAACCACGGTAAGTACCTGAGCTTTAAGTAATTTTCATTGAATTCCCACTGTATTAACAATAATACAGCTTTACAAAATGAAAAAGGTCCCTGTAATTCAACCTTTCCAATATAAATTTGTGCATTTAAAAAATTGCTTTCTGGTCTGTGTCTGTGTGCATACATATTCTTAATATAATTGTAGTCTATCTTTGAAAAACCATCCAAGGATTTTGCTCACATAATTCTATCCTAAATTCTGACTGTTGTAATTCCAACTGCACTGAAAGAAAAAAGTGGGGTGTATTCTATACAAAAATGCACAAGTTAAGAAAAGACATTCTAAATCCATAGTGTGTACTAAGCCAAAACTCTTTTCATATTAATCAGGAATTTTGACATAGAACTCTTTGTTCATCAGCTGCACATGAGAGTAATTGAGTAGTTGAATCATGGACTGTAGGAGTAAACTTGAGCCGTGTTACACTAGTACTGGTGTAAGATATGAGTGTCATCTGAGCCAACCTTTCCTTCCCATAGTGACGAACGCCCTACTATGGAAACACAGATAATTGAGCTGAGTTGTGCAGACATCCTGTCTCCCATTAATATGCTTAGGTGAGCTCAAAGTCAAAACTGTGGTTCCTTGAGAGACTACAAGATAAGACCAACATTTAGTTCATGGCATATTGTGTTTTTACCTGCAGAACAAAACTAATCCTTTGCTTTACAGTTCAGTTGTCACTGTTTAGGGTGTCAATACTTCTTAGTAATGTTGATTATACCTGATTTTTATCAATGAGCTGCTCTCCACAGCTGAAATCTCATGAATCTCTCCTCCTGTGTTCTGTGTAGAAGGAGCAGGAGAACTTTGGAAGACATGAGATGCAGTCAATAAAGTTCCTTTTCTTAATTCCTGGGAAATGAAACTGACAATTAATATATTCATTTTCAGCTAGGAAATTTTTTGACTCTCTGATATTTCTTTTAAAATGGAAAATAAAGGGAAGGTTTGATGATTGTCTCAATGTGTTTGGGTGGCTATAACAGAATACCAGACTGGAGGGCTTATAAACAACAGAAATTTGTTTCTCACAGCTCTGGAGGCCAGGAAGTCCAGGATCAGGTGCCAGCATGGTTGGGTGAGAGGCCTCTTGCTGGTTCCTAGCCAGCACCTTTTCACTGTGCCCTCAGGAGGTAGAAGGGCTGGGGAGCTCTGCAGAGTGTCCTTTATAGAAACGCTAATGCCATTCCTGAAGGCTCCATCCTCATGTTCTTCCTAAGGCCCCACCTCCTAATATCACCTTCTTGTGGGTTAGAATTTCAACATATGGGTTTTGGAGGGTCGCAACATTCAGACCACAGCTGTAATGAAATGTCCCGAGCTAGCTGGCCCAAAGAATGAAACATTTCCTCAAAGTGAAATGTAGGAAGAAGCGTTCAACTTTGTCTGCCTTAAATGGGCATCACCAACTGGTGGTCCACAGGCAGAATTCAGCCCCCAGACATTCTTTGTTTAGTTCACAGTTTGTAAACACACACATGCACACTTGGAGGCTTAGGTGGAACCTGTCCTTTGCAGGTAGTTACTGTCCTCACGGCTCTCTGTTGTCTAAGACTTGGCTGCTTCACACATTCAGATTAAGTGCATGTCCCTGAAGACATTTGAGCTTGTGACACCAGTTCACGCACTGGGAAATGTGCCTACTTGATCCGCCTCTTCAGTGGTATATTACGTGTAGAACAGATTCCTGGGTAGAGGTCTTTGAGGGTGATTTCTTCTTCTCTATTGAGGTTTTTCCTTCTTAATTATTAATTCATGGGGCATCTTTTTTTTTTTTTTTGGCTCACACTTTGGGAATTATCACCCTTTTTATATCTTTATTTGCCAAAGTCTGATATTATTTAGGCATAGTAGTAGGTAGAAAAGTAGAAAATTTGTGAAGCACTTGTAAATTGTAGTTGGCAAAATAATTTCAACCTTAAGATGAATAGTGACGAATTTTGACTGTTTATGTAGACATCACCTTTTTTTCCCAGTGGTAATTCCCAAATTGATACTAGCTCTTTAGACTTAAAGAAATTGCCCCTTATAAGAGCCCAAGCAGGTAATTTCTCAGACATTGATAAATGCTATTGAGAAATGTTGAAAAATGTTGAATATGTGAAAATAGAATAATGGTAGCATTCTAATTACAATTCCTATTGAGAAGGTTCTCGCATTGTTTACAATTGTTTACACCAAATTATAAAATAAACAGGCAGGAGAAAATATATGTGATTTCTAAGGAGTAATGTTTAAGTGTGTAGGCTTTCACTCTGTCATCTCCCCTACTCACTTCACATTTATAGCTAAATAATAATACATACATAAATTCATACATACATACATGAATAATAAGAGCATCTTTTTTTCCTCTCGTTTGCCAAAACATGTTTTCATTTAAACTGTCATTTAAAAGGATGGTCTCTATAGGTAGGAGCACATAGGTTTATAGATTCTTATACTTGTATACTATATTCTACAATTAAAACATATGCTTAAACATGATAAGTTAGATAGTCCTTGACTACTGTGACAGTGTTCAAGCCTAACTGTTACTGCTTCCTCACTCACACCAACAATTCACGTGAAACCTCTAAAATTGCAAAATGCTAATACTGGATGGCAGTGTCCTTGCCGTACAAAATGTCCGATTCTCCTTTAACTTACACAGTCATTGCTATCTTGCACTCTCATTTCCAAACTTTTGCATGAGTTGTTAGTCGATGAAGACTGTAAACTGCTGGGAAACTGTTATACTTTTATTTTACTCCTCACAGCAATTAGCACCAGGTTGGATGCAGGCTAGTACTCAATACTTGCTGACTAGTGGAAACCAGTCAAGTAGAGATAAATGCTGCAATTTATGGAAAGAGCACAGATGTAGGAACCCAGAAGCAGTAGATGCTAGTGCCAGCACTAGCCATTAACTAACAGTGTGCCCTTTGATAGCTAACCGTGGACTTTAGTCCACACGCATAAAGGGAGAGACTTAAAGAAATTAATAGATGACAGTTAACATCCTTTAAACTCTAGTATTCTATAATTTTAAAGAGAGTTTTCTGATTCCGTCTCCTAAAATAAGTTCTCTGTATTCAACTTGTACTTATAGCAATGATCAGGACTTACAGGTTCCCCAAAGTTCAGCACTTGGCATTTTTCGGGCAGTTCAAATTAAAGTTTAATTTTAGTACAGGGTAAGACCTGAAGAGCCTGCTAAAATAGCACCCCTACCTGCCTTCGCTAATTAGAGGATTTAGAGTTGAATACAAAAGTGGCCTGGGAAAAATCAATTTCCTTGACTATGAAGTTCAGACCAGATCCACTATCTTAGAAATGAATGTCTTACAATAAACACTCTTCAGGAGTGATTTCTGATGTATCTGAACCATATTGTACAATTTAAGGGGAAGGAAGGGGAAATAGAAGTGAGTATAACTGTACAGAACATATCACCCTAGCTGTGATTTTTAATAAGGTTAAGCAATATTATTAAGAGTATCATTCTTTCCCCATAATTTTAAGAAATGTAGTCCTGAATTATTAGCATTTGACTTTTTAGCTACTGTTATACCTATAGTATAATAGTGCCACACTTGACAAAAATGCCATTGCCAAGGGGTTCTACCAAATTTATATATAAATATATTATATATAAATTTGTGAAATAATTAAACTTAAATAAACTATTTATTTTGTTTTATTTTTTACATTTATTTATTTAATTAATTTATTTTTGGCTGCACTGGGTCTTCATTGCTGCGCGGGGGCTTTCTCTAGTTGCGGCGAGCAGAGGCTACTCTTCGTCTCTGTGCGTGGGCTTCTCATTGTGATTGCAGTGGCTTCTCTTGTTGCGGAGCACGGGCTCTAGGCACGTGAGCTTCAGTAGTTGTGGCTTGCAGGCTCAGTAGTTGTGGTACACAGGCTTAGTTGCTCCGCAGCATGTGGGATCTTCCCGGACCAGGGCTTGAACCCGTGTCCCGTGCGTTGGCAGGCAGGTTCATAACCACTGCACCACCAGGGAAGCCCAAACTATCTGTAGTTTCCCGTGGCTGCTGTATCAAATTACCAGAAACACGATGGCTTAAAACAACACATTTACTGTCTTGAGATCTGGAGGTCAGAAGTCTGAAATATATCTCAACGGGCTAAAATCAAGGTGTTGGCAGGGCTGTGTTCTTTCTGAAGCCTCTGGGTGAGACTGTCTTTCCTTGCCTTTTCCAGCTTCTAGAGGCTGCCCATATTCCTTGGTTCTTGGCCTTTTCCTCCATCTTCAAAGCCAGCAGTGGCCAGTCAAGTCTTTCTCACGCTGCATCACTCTGACACAGATTCTCCTGCCTCCCCTTTCACTTACAGCGATTCTTGTGATTACACTGGACCTACTGGAATAATCCTGGATGGTTTCCCTAATCGCGAGATCGTCTGATTAGTAGCCTTAATTCTGTCGGCAACTCTGATTCTCCCTAGCCGTGTAACATTACATATTCACAGGTTCCAGGAATTAGGCATCTTTAGAGGGGCATTACTCTGCCTTCTACATTATCTGACCTAAATTTTAACATGATTATTCTGGGTGATACCTTGGCAGTGTCCTCAAGTTGGTGAGTATAGAGACAGGAAGCAGGAACCATATGAGATAAAGTGGTGGTTTAGATAAGGGTGGGAATAGCAATGGAGGTTATGAGAAGAGACAGGATCCCGGATATGTTTTGAACGTAATTTGCTGACCTGTTGGATGTAGGATGTGAGAGAAAGAGAAGAGTTGCATGGATAGTCCAAAGTTTTGGGCCTAAGCGATAGGAAAAAAATAATCTGCCGTTAATTAAAATGAAGAAAACTACTGAAAGAGCAGGTTTCGGGCTTCAGTGCTCAGTTTATGGAAGGCTGAGAATGGCTCCTCTCCTAAGAAAGAAGCAGCATTTCCCCGGTGCCTGGTAGTGATTCTGGTCAGGCAGATCTGTCCCCTAGAAGGGCCAGAGGTGCGGGCCCTAGGGGCATTTCTACTAAGAAATGGCCAGTTGGATTCATTTGCTACCCTCTACTTCCCTTCTCCTGTTTATGGGTGGACAAAAAAAGGAGGAGCAGTGCCTTTTTAATAACCATCGCCCTCTTTAGAAAGAACAACTTGTAGGATATCTGAGCTGTCAACAAGTTGGATCTGCTGAGTAAGGATTGGGAGGGTGATAAAGAAGAGAGAACTTTTTTGCCTTGGCAGTGACCTCTGGTCTTGCAGTGATTCATGACCTACCGGACCAGAGAGGCTGCTGTAACATCTTAATATACTCCTGAGCCTGCTTCAACAACGAGCGTCTCTTGCCAGACCATCCTGAGCTGCCCGTGTGAAAATTTACTTGCACAAAACTTAAGAAAATGGGTGTTTCCTCCCGTACTGAGCCCCTGGGAAGCATCCTTTTTCTGCAGGGATTCCAGATACTTCCAACCAAAATGAGCTCTGAGTGGCAGTTTCATATTATTACTGGGTTTTTATTTCTTGTTTCTTGGAATTCAAGATTTCTTTCAGAGACCTCCTGACAGTAGATTATTTAGTTAGTCCAGTGGTTTCTGCAGCCAAAGAGGCTTTGTGGAACTTGAAATAACCTGAGTTAATGTATATTAGGAGAGTTTGATGCTGCAGGTGCTGTGCTAAAAAGCACTTTCATGGCTTATCCTATGTAATTCTTATGACAGACCGATGAAGTTGTAGGGATTATTTTGGCTACATTTTGCAGTTGGAGTAATTAAAGCTAAGAAAGGATAAGTATTTACAAGTGGGAAATAATGGTACTGGAGTTCCAACCCAGGTAATCTGACTATAGAAACCGTGTGCTTCTAACTGCTGTACTATATGTTTTCCCCAAATTGATCCCTGCCATCTATTTGTGCTTGGTGTTAAATTGCCCCTAAAAGTCCCATAGCTGGCTCTCTGCTCCTCTGTGTGTACTTCTCCAGAAAGCTAAACCAGTCCTCCAAGAGGGAAAGGAACTTCTGGCCAAATGGCCATCTTTGATCCTGCTGCTAGTACCCAAGGCTTCTGATACCTGGTCACGGTCAAGAATTGAGCACTACTGGGCTCCCCTGGTGGCGCAGTGGTTGAGCGTCCGCCTGCCGATGCAGGGGACACGGGTTCGTGCCCCAGTCCGGGAAGATCCCACATGCCGCGGAGTGGCTGGGCCCGTGAGCCATGGCCGCTGAGCCTGCGCGTCCGGAGCCTGTGCTCCGCAACGGGAGAGGCCACAACAGTGAGAGGCCCGCGTACCGCAAAAAAAATAAAAAGAATTGAGCACTACCATGTCCTTCACACCCACGTCGCCAAGTAATTCCATTCTCCACTTCAGTTTCTATTGAACACCTGATTGCAGTAGTCCTACTACGCTTTCCAAAGACCCTCTGTCCTGAGAACTGTGCAGCCACTCAGCCCATCACTGATCTCTCTTAACCTAGCAGCACCAGAAAGCTGACTGCTTACTCTGAGATTACGTGATCACTGCTGAATAAATCCTGATTTCGTTTAGGAGCAGCCTTCCCCATGTATGACTTGACTGTGAACTTCATGAAGACATGGATTGTGTCTGTTTTGTTTACTGTGGTATCCCTAGTGCCAAGCAAAGTATTAGGTACTTACAGTTGGCCCTCCGTTTTCACAGAAGCAGAAGCCGTGAATACAGAGGGCTGAATGTGCTAAGTAAATTTTTGTTGAATGATCAAATTATGCACAACCATGTGTACATACCTTACAGGGAAACTCAGCTGTCTGTGCTATAGTAATGCTCGTAGGCCACTGTTAGTGCCACTAGACACCGCAGAGGAACTGCCAACCAACTAAATGGTCCCATGTGTGGCTACTGACTCAGAAATGGCCATTCTGCACCCACTCCATGGGAAAGGTTTGGGTTTAATGCACTCCCATAAAACCCAGCCCTTGTCCTGACTAGAGGCAGGTACTTAGGAAGTTTAGTTGACCACACTTAAGAAGTGGGGTGGAGGGCTTCCCTGGTGGCGCAGTGCTTGAGAGTCCGCCTGCCGATGCAGGAGACGCGGGTTCGTGCCCCGTTTCGGGAAGATCCCACATGCCGCGGAGCGGCTGGGCCCGTGAGCCATGGCCACTGAGCCTGCGCGTCCGGAGCCTGTGCTCCGCAAATGGGAGAGGCCACAACAGTGAGAGGCCCGCATAACGCAAGAAAAAAAAAAAAAAAAGTCTAATATTACATTTTACTTTTTTTCCCTTAAAGAAGTGGGTGGAGAAAGAGATGCTCCACATACAAGAGATTTTAAGCACTAGCGTAGAGTGAAAAATATTTTCTTTGGCAAAGTTAGTGAAACCATCAGATTTCTGTCTTCCATTGCTTTTTTTTCCTCTGAGGTCTTAAGCCTGTTCATTGGACTGGAACTGTAACACTTTCCCTGCTTGGTTCTTGGAGTTTTCAGGTTACCTGTGGAATTTATCTTGCTCTGTACTCACAATGCTACCTCCCAAATAATAAACAGAATTCTGAATTTTTGTGCAGATTTTATAATATGCCTTGAGATTTCATCCTTATTCTGGTCTCCTTTGTATTGCATACAGGAAGAGTGTTTGTACAGTACCTCAAGGATATATGATCTTCGCTTCCCCTGCCTACACACACACACACACACACTCTCTCTCTCTCTCTCTCTCTCTCTCTCTCTCACCTGTTCTGTGCAATTAGATTATTTCTGGCCAGGTAAGAAAGTGATGCAAAAGCAATTTTAAAAATAATCTCTCTGCAGTACGACACCTCCTTTAATTTGTTAATAAAGCTGTTAGTATAAACTGTTAGGAAATATAGAATTCTTCATTCACTTCAAACAGAGGCAGATATATATATATCCAGTGCCTAATGGTCCCTGGTTTCTTTTTTATTTTCTCAGGCAAGGAAACTGATCAGTGACTTCGCCATTATCTTGTCCATTCTCATCTTTTGTGTAATAGATGCCCTGGTAGGTGTGGATACTCCAAAACTGATTGTGCCAAGTGAGTTCAAGGTAGGTGAACTTGTCTTTTGGTCATTCCTGGAATTCTTCGGTTTTCTTTCCTTTCCCCTATTCTAGTTTGTTGTATTTTCTCTTTGAGTTAGTTTTATACAGTTGTCCGTTTCTTTATTTTATAAATGGTCAATCACTAGGTGCATATATACATTTTGTCTATTTTTTCACTAAAATTAAATGCCTGACTAGGACTAAATGCAAGGTTCACATTATATTGATTTTTATTGGGCATACCTTATGATAACATTATAAACTCTGCTTTATATTTTTAGAGTATTTAAAAATATCCAGAGTATTTTCAACTGGATATTTCAAGGTTATCAACTTATAACCTTGACCCATATAATAATTCTAGGTTGCAATGTAACTATCATCATCCTGATTTTGTGAAGTTGAGATTGAAGCTTATAAAAATTAAGTAAAATACCTAAGGTTACATTACTAATTCAGTGCTCTTTTCCTGCCACCAAACTACCTGCCATATACACACATGCGTATATATAATGAGCATTTTAATTATTACAAAGATATAGGAATTATTCATTTTATAAACCTGTGGGTATGTACAAGCCTAATGGGTAATATTTACATTTCATTCATTCTTAAGTATCCCTATCTAATTTTTCACCACAAGTCTTTCACTTATTTTCTAGAACACTCCTAACCTCTCTCTCCATCACTGAGAACCATATATTTGCTAAGAAAAATTAAACGAACTGCAGTTTTAGCTTAATGACTACCTGATGAGGAAGGGATGTCTGTGTTATAGCAAACAAAATGTTTTTTGCATTTTCTCTGCCATGATATATTTATTAGCAAAGGTAAGTGCTCATTTATTCAGTCATTAGTTAAGTCAGTATTTATTGAATGCTTGTTTTGAGTCAAGCCCTATACTGGGAATTTGAAATGCATTGAAGAGCAAGACAAAGTTCCTTTCCTTATAAGCTCACAACCTGGTAAAGGTAGTAAAATGTGAATAGATTCAGTGATGGAGTTATGAGCAAAGTGAGACAGAAATATCTTCAGAGGAGAAGTGAAGCTTTCTTCATAGTAAATGTGGAGAAAATAATTCATAGTTAGGATTCTGTTTTAGTTTATTTATATTGTTTAAAATTAGGAAAAGAATAGGAAAATATGAAAAAAGGTCAGGGTATTTAAATAAGCTTAATTATAACATATAAAATATTTGTCGCTTTTTATGTATTATATCATGAAACGATTGCAATTTGGCAGTAGTAAAAACAACTTCTGTATAATTGCTAAAACCCATGAACAAAATTCATGGTTGTTTTGTAATTTCTTGCCTACCTCCTTACTGAATATTACATTTGGGTTTTTCTTATGGCCACCCCTTAAACTTAAATCACTTTCTTCCATCCTGATTCTTATCTTGGAGCATCCTAAATGTGAAAATTGGCATTTACTTCTTTTCCATCACCGTATAGTCTCAGTTTCCTTCATTTAAAACATTGCCTTAAAAATAACCTCCTTTAGGAAGTTCTTGCTGAATAATCTTTGTACAAGCTATCAGTAAAACTATTTGTTTTTTAATATGTTGGCTCTCCATATATAAAAGTGTGTCTCCCCCACTGATCTTTCACCAAGTAGTGTGTATTAATATTGTTTTAAAAAATGTTTTCTCTCTACTTAAAGCCAACAAGTCTAAACCGAGGTTGGTTTGTTCCACCATTTGGAGGAAACCCCTGGTGGGTGTACCTTGCAGCTGCTATACCTGCTTTGTTGGTCACCATTCTCATTTTCATGGACCAGCAAATCACAGCTGTGATTGTAAACAGGAAAGAACATAAACTCAAGGTAAATCTTCATAATAATGGTTATCACTGCCTTCTACTTTCTTTTTTGGTGCTTGAAAATATTAAATGCTTCAAAAGCAGGATAGTTTTATGGGAATTACAGCTTATGTTCTTTAAGACTTCGCAGAGTCATAGATCACCCTGTGTGGACACATCTTCTCAATATAATACTTTTGGAAGACCTCATTTAAACCTGAAAAAGTTGTTTCAAATCATATTTTCTTCACCATCTGAGAGGGCGATGTAAACTGTTTACCACTCAGCCACTGTTATCCTTCATCTGATTTTAATACAGTAACTGTCCTTAATGAAGACAAAGACAAATGCTTTCTCTGAAACTATTAAGATTAAAATATGAGTTTTCTTCTTTAACCTGTCGAATTGGTGAGTTATATTAATAGATTTTATAATGTTGAACCAACCTTGAAACCTGGCAGATATATAGTTTCTTTCTTACACACAATTGGACTTGGTTTGTTAATATATATATTATAATATGTAATATAATATATATTGCTTATATATGTATATGTACATGTATATGTGTATATATGTATATATGTGTGTGTGTGTGTGTATATACGATTTTTTGCATCTCTGTTTAAGAGTGACATTGGCCTGCATTTTTCCTTTCTTATACTGTCCCTGTCTGGTTTTGGTATCAGAAATATGCTATCCTTATAAGATGAGCTGGAGAGTATTTCTGCTTCTATTCCACTCCCATCCCATTCTCTGAAATAGAATATAATAGTCTCTTTATTGTGTATAATATGTCAATTATCTTTTCTTTGAATGATCAGACAAGTTGTTAAACTACCTGGGCCAGGTGGTTTCTGTATGGAACTGTAAAACTGGTGATCAAAATGTTTTGATGGCTATGAGACATTCAGAATTTCTATTTTTCAATTTTAGTAACTTATACTTTTCTAGATTTTCCCTTTTTTTTTCTATTTTAAAATTTATTGCAATGTTGTTTATAATATTATCATTTGTCATTTTTGTAATCTGAATCTGTTATTTTTCCCTTTAAAATCTTAATATTATTGGGCTTCCCTGGCGGCACAGTGGTTGAGAGTCCGCCTGCCGATGCAGGGGACACGGGTTCGTGTCCCGGTCCGGGAAGATCCCACATGCCGCGGAGCGGCTGGGCCCATGAGCCATGGCCGCTGAGCCTGCACGTCCGGAGCCTGTGCTCCGCAACGGGAGAGGCCACAACAGTGAGAGGCCCGCGTACCGCAAAATATAT